TTTTCTCTTTTTCTCTAATTTCGCTACGCTTTTACTCGGTAATCATTATGCTGCGGTAATCATTATCGCAGGCCTACGTGCTCTTCTACAAACTACAGCCCTCCCGCTACTGATCGCCGCCGCAGGGGGGCGCTACCGTAGCCCTGCACGCCGTCGTCTCGTCGCAGGCCTACGCGCTCTTCTACGAACTACAGCCCTCCCGCTACTGATCGCCGCCGCAGGGGGGCGCTACCGTAGCCCTGCACGCCGTCGTCTCGTCGCAGGCCTACGCGCTCCTGTACCTACGAAATCGCACCCGCCTACGTGCTCTTCTACGCTCCCGCTACTGATCGCCGCCGCCGCAGGGGGGCGCCACCGTAGCCCTGCACGCCGTTGTTTTCATATTTCTAGTCATTAAATATGTATGTACATACATATATATGTGTGTATATATAATATCAGCTAACATATGCATATAGCTCTAAGAAACACACACAAGTANTTGTTAATTGGCTCATAACAGTGAATTTTTTCTCGCCCATTTTTAATACACGGAATAACTGAAGCTAGCAGTTTTTATATAAAACAGCAAGTCGTAACACATTTCACACTATTTACAGCTAATGCTGCAAACTGGCAATCACAGCTTCACAATGAACTAGCTTATACTATGCTAGAAGATTAAAAGCCACAGATTTTGTTGCATATATACCTTCTCTGTTTCTGGCGGAAGAAGTAGTAGACGGCTGCTATGATAAGCAACAAGGCCAACAGTGATCCTGTGATGATGACGCCGACTAGCCAGTTGGTATCTGCACATGAATTATCAGCAGCTAATTAATTAACATAACCTTTCCTTATGCTTAATGTGATTACAGCAACCCCTTGACATTCGCATGTTTCACTTTTGCAATTTCGATTATCAATAAATCAGTACTATGCAGCTTCATCATCCTCGCCGTCGTCATCTTCACCATTATAATTTTAAGGTTAGTAGATTGATTTATGGAAACGAAATAGGTATATAGCCAGTGTCCTTATGATATTTAGTGAACCGCGAATGGTATTCACTAATCTGGCTACTCGGGGGGGGGGGGTTACAGACACGTATGCTATACCTCATAAACATCAGAGGTTTACAGTACACGACTCAAACTATTAAGGAAAGTTTGGGGAAATGGCATGAGGTATATAAGAGAAAAGTGAAAGAAAGAATTTAACAAACAGTTTTCTAATTATACTCACAGAAATTCATCTATAAATAAATTAAATAAACTGCTATAAATATCATTATTGTTAATAACTGCACAGATCAAACTATACACTAACGTTTTAGGCAAAATTGCATGAGGCACATTGGAGGAAAGTCGAAAAGAGAAGCAGTTTTCATATTATCGATGGCTTAATGCTAACGACCAGCCAGTCATTAGTTGCCTATAAATTGTCTGAGTGACCTAGCTGTAGCTACAAACATAACAACTTATGGCATTTATGGAAATCTGGCAAATTTGTCAGGGAAGGCTTGTAGGTGGAAGGTGAATATACTAACATTCAGTTAAGACACACTTTAAAAATGGTTTCATTTTAAGTTACGAGCTCGTAAGCATTTGCCCTAGGTTATGAGTGAATTAGGATTAATTATAAGGTTGAACTGCTTAACACGTCACGAGCTCACGGTGTGTTGGTGCCCCAGTCGGATGGATTGCATGTTGACACCTGTTTCCACCAACTTCAGATGGGCACCTGTAATTTT